CTCTTTCAAGTACCAATCTCGGGACCTGGGGCTCTGGCTTAGTACACTGCCAACGCAGACCTAAATTACAAATTTTGGCTCGAGGTCCAAAAGGCTCCAAGGATTGCCAGGGACTGTAAGGCTGGCTATATTGCATAACCTAAGCACACCTGAAAGAGTCAAACGGACGGCCTGGTTTTCTGAGGTCAATTCCCAATTAATAAGAAGATTTAGCACCCGGAGATCAAATCTTTATTGCCCTGAAACTCCCTGGGGAAAGACCTTGAACAAAAGCAGTTAGAGCTACAGTTTCCATCTGGGTGGGTGGAAGGAGGGGCTACAAAGTCGCAGCTCCTGTTTCAGTCCTAAATTCCAGCCAGATTTGTGAAGACACAAGGTGATCATGGGCTTGTCATGAATCCTCTCTCCCAATGCAAGAGCCTTCGCGCCAGGAGACACGCTGGGGAAGGGGGCCCTGGGCACAGACTGCCCTCCTGGGCCTCTCTGCAGTGCCGGGTCTCACTCAGTCGTTTAGTCTTCAATTTTCCAGTTTCTCTCTACCAGGGTATAGATACATATATGTATATATTTAGGACCCTCTCTTCCCACCATCCAGCAAATGATGTAAAATATCACCACTACTATGGGACTTCCACAGCCTTTTACAAAGGTCAGAAGAACGCTTTGATGCCGCCCCTTACGTCATAGCCCAGCCTCACCTCTCTTCCTCCAGCCTCACCTCTCATTTATTTCCACTGACTGCACCTGGCAGGAGGCTCAGCTGCAGGCAGGATCTCCTCCCTTTTCATGCAGCTCAATGGGAGTTGCCATGACGGGCTGAAAACGTACCGTTTACTTAGAGAAAGAGCGGTGAAAGAGCGGCTAAGTGTCAGCTGTCATCTGCCATTTTAATCCCAGACACAAACAATTAGTTGAGCGCAGTCATATCCAGATGCTAATATTTGATGGAAGTGAGTAACGCCGCAATAATTCACGACTAGCTGTGTCTTCCATGAGAAAGGCTTCTTGTGAGACTCTGCAGGCACCTGCCTAGAAAATCCTCAAACGATATTAAAAGCCTCATCTATAAAAACACAGTCCCTGGGGATTTACACGTCTCCAAAGGTGAGGTGCACTGTCAGGAAAACCTGTCACACCATTTGAGATGTCAGCTGGCACCTAGAAAGACCCTGCTGTGGAGGGACCACCTTTTTAACCTACCACTCTGGAATGCATTAACCCTGGCTGGATGCGGGAGGTGCTTGAAGGGGCTGCCCGCACAGAAAGCAGGTGAGGAATGCTAAGGTTTTCTTCAAATGACGCTGATTTCTGGGGGGAAAAAAAAAAAGAATACATTTTCTAATCCAGTTCATCATAAAGTATCAGCACATGACATAATTATCTGTTTATATGGCATCACAGGAAATTTTCAGCACTGGTACGTCAGTGAAGTGCTTCTTGCAAAGCCTACACCGATTAAAATATCACTAACTTAGTCCTGGGATTTATGCAGGGTTGCCTGAGTTTAAATCAGTTTTAAAAGCAACTCAAGTTAACAGGATGCAAAACCTTGTCATGTCAACACTCCTAGTCTCCTTTAAAGCTTTTTCAACTTGATATTGATCTAGTTTGACTCCACATCAAATTGGTGTTCACACAGGAGCCTTGACCTATTTAACCAATGCACTTTTAAATAACGTCTCCCATTTCACAGCTCCAACTCTGAATATAGACCTACAGGCAAAGCAACCTGAAGGTCCCTCTACCTTAGCGGTTGTGCCAAAGGGTTTCTACCCCGACTCCAGTAAATTAAGTCAGCGCTGAATTTGTAAGAGGTTTTGATACTACTACAGAGATATTCATTTTTCTAGAACAATCTCTTCAAAATAAAACCAAATTGAAGCACACCTACTGACTGGATGTTTTTAGCTGCATATTGCACTACAGAGAAGGAGGCAAATGTTCCCCTGTCACTCAACCCACTGCTAAAGACGTAAGTTGCTCTTTTTCTACTGTGGTTTGTAAAAAGATGGGCTATCTTTTATCAGGCCAGCTGCCACTGAGAAAAAAGAGATAAGCTTTTGGGCAGAAGCCCCTTCTTCAGGTCTGAAGTAGCAGCAGCAGTCTTGAAGGTGAAAACCAGCAGAGAACGACTTATAAATTTAATTAGATTACGTAAGCAGCTAGACCATCTGAAAAAAAAAAAAAAAGGGCAGTGATATCTGGAGAAAGGAAGGGATAGCAGGGGAGGAGGAGATAAAACCCGAGCTCCTCTGGCGCACACAAAGCAAGCAATGAGTAATTTACTGCCTGAGGAGTGTGCGGGACAGGGAGCTGTACCCTGTGCCCTGGCGTCTCTGTCAAGCCCAGGATCGTTAGCAGCATTAAGCATTTTAGCTCCCATGATGTCTTTTGAAGGTATTTTGTCTATGACCCCTAAGAATCAGGGCTCAAGGGAGGTCTACATTTATTTCAACTGTGACAGGCTGCTGCAGAAAAGTACATGCGTGGGGGAAAAGAAGAGCCCTAGGTATCACTGTCCTTCTCCGCTTCATCTCCATCCTGGCTGCTGGGCTTAGTCTCACTTATCTGTGGAAAAATAAGAAAAAAATATACCTGCCCCAACCAGTCCTTTCGCAAGTGCAGAAGTGGTGTCTCTGAACATACCCAACCCGATTTATCTGAGGGAGTAATAACAGGAAGAGTCTAACAGCTTCTTAGTTATTTGTCCATTTTAAAAATATGTCATTTATTTGGCGAAGGCACAGCACTCAGTACGGTGAATACATGTCACAGCCCTTGCGAGGTGTCAGGAGCTCAGCAGTGAGAGAGCGCAACAGTCATTACAGATGATGGAGATCACAGCGAGACGCCCTGCAGGTGAGAAGGCAGCTGCTGGAGGCGGTCAGGACAGCCGATGCACATGTTATCAGGCTGCTAATGGAGTGAGCACAGCAAATGACACAGTGGCACCCCTGACCATGGCGGGAGACACGCAGCAGCGCTTCGTCAAGACGCCTGGGACAGGCTCGGAGCGTTTCTCCTTGAAAACGGAGTGCGTCCCGGAGCTGAAGAGTAAGATTCATGCCCAGGTCAGTGAGAAAATCAGCAAGAGGAAGGCGGCTACAGCCGCTGAGCAAAGCTGGCAGCCACAGTACCGCGAAGCCCACCACAGTGACAGGCCGTCCTCACCCCCTGCCCTCGGCCAAGGGCAAAGAGAGCCACAGAATCATAGAATCGTTAAGGTTGGAAAAGACCCTTAAGATCACAGAGTCCAACCGTTAACCTAGCACTGCCAAGTCCACCACTAAACCATGTCCTCGAGCACCACGTCTACCCGTCTTTTAAGTACCTCCAGGGACAGAGACTCAACCACTTCCCTGGGCAGCCTGTTCCAGTGCCTGACTACCCTTTCAGTGAAGAAGTTTTTCCTAATATCCAAC